CGTTTTGATCCTGGGAAGAGTCCGGGGACCCGTTCGGAACTGATTTGGGTCGGGGGGTGCACGTCGACGACGACGGCGACGACGCCGTCGCCACCGCCGCCGCCGCCGCCGCCGCCGCCGTCGTCGTCGTCGTCGTCGTCGTCGTCGTGGTGCGCCCCACGACCCCGCGAGCACCGAGGCTTTCTGGCCTTCGGGGGCCCCCCGCGTCGCCGCGGCCGGACGCGGCGACAGAAGCTGGTGCCTTTTGACCCTGGGAGAGGTCCGAGGACCCGTTTTGGACGGATTCGAAGTCGAGGGGTGCGCCACGACGGCGACGATGACGACGGCGGCGAAGACGGCGACGAGAGCGGCGGCGGCGGCGGCGGCGGCGGCGGCGGCGTCGTCGTCGTCGTCGTCGTCGTCGTCGTCGTCGTCGTCGTCGTCGTCGTCGTCGTCGTCGTCGTCGTCGTCGTCGTCGTCGTCGTCGTCGTCGTCGTCGTCGTCGTCGTCGTCGTCGTCGTCGTCGTCGTCGACGTCGTCCTCCTCCTCATCCTCGTCCTCGTCCCCGTTTTGGCTGGCCCGCCTGCGGTTCGGCCCGGCTCGGCCGGCAGGAGGAGGAGGAGGAGGAGGAGGAGGAGGAGGAGGAGGAGGAGGAGGAGGAGGAGGAGGAGGAGGAGCTTGTTAGAATTCGATTGGCTTATGGGTACCAACGCCCAAGGGGGGACCGGGTATCAAGCGCCGGTGGCTGGCGAGCCCCACCATGAGATTAGGGGGGAAGAACCCCAGCATCGTCCATGAGGCTTCGTCGAGGCAGAACCGGCATCCTGGGTGACCGATTCGATTGCCACGCAAATGAATGTTCGATGGCCCGGCAAATCAGACCCACTACGAAGGTGTTCCTTGCCCCCCCAGTCCCGAGAAGGGACAGCGCATCATTGAGGGGACGAATGGGATGAGGACGCTGGGGTGTCTTCCGACTCCTGGCTACCCCCTCATATCCTTGCCTCACCGTGGCAATCCGTCCAATTAGAGCGCCTCACGGCGGCTTACCGCAATCGCGCGCCCTTGATTCTGAAAAGAGGAGGAGGTGGAGGAGGACACGGAGGAGGAGGAGGAGGACGACAACGACGCAGAGGAGGAGGAGGAGGAGGAGGAGGAGGAGGAGGAGGCCCGTTCCTCGTGAGACATCCTCGGAAGTCTGGGCTCCAACGCGCCACGACAAGTGATTATTAGCGCTCTCGCCTGGGACATCTTCACCACACCGGCGCATCCCGCTTAAAGCATCCGCAGCATTCTGGGATCCGATATTCTTTGAGTTGAAGTAATCTGGCCACCATCGCCTGAGCCATCCTCGCACTTGCTTCCCGCCGAAATTTGCCCCGCCAGATTTTGCCTCCCGCGCGGCTGCCGCCATCGCCATCATTATCATCAGCATGACCTTCCTCATCCTCATCCTGAGACATCCTCGCAACGCTGACCTCTGATATTCTTCCCTGCTCCAAATTGTCCTGGCCAGTTCCGCCTACACAAAAACTCGCAGCGTTGACCTGGGATGCGCCCTGCCTTCACGTAGTCTGACCCCCGATCTTCCCCGAGATGCGGTGTTCAGGCCACTTGCGCCTGAGACGCCCTCGCACCTCTCTCTGACTTCGGAGGTGCCCTGCCCCATGGCGGTCCGGCCACTGTCGCCGTCGCCGTCGCCGTCGTCGTCGTGGCGGGGAACTGACAACCAACCGATAACCCGATAAACCGATAAACCGATATGCGGCACAAGGATCGCCTCCACAGGTTCCCCCCCAGCGGTCTCAGACCAGCCAATCAACCGATAAACCGATCAACCGATAAACCGATCAACCGATAAACCGACGAAGAGAGGGGGGCGCGCCAGCAATCGCCTCTATGTTCGCATACAGAAGTTTATCGGTTTTTCGGTTGAGCGACCGATCCACCGATAAACCGATCAAATTATATCGGTTTTTCGGTTGATCGGTTTGCAAACCGTTCAACCGATTAGTTTTTATCGGTTTATCGGTTTATCGGTCGGATGGATTTCCGGAAGCCGTTGCCGCTGCACTCTATATTTATATAAACATATATATATATATATATATATATATATATATTCTGCACACTCGTCCATCCTAAATATGAAATCAAATCATCCCAGCCAAACCGGTATCCCCCCCTGAGGTTCCCGTGTAAAAAACAATATATGCGGTGACATTGTTGTACATAACACTTTTTCGCGAATCCCTTGCAAAAAATGGGACGAAGTGCGCACGCGCGCGTCGTCGCGCGCGCATGCCGAAATCCTTCAAAAACCTACTCGGTGACGGAAGGATTTCGCAATCGAGTTTCCAAAAAAACATCAAAAACACAGGGTTTCGCAATACAGAGTTGCTAAAAAAGCTTCCGCGCGAGCTCTTGCGAAATCTTAAGAAAACCATGGGTTTTTCAAGATTTTGACAAAACGCTACCAAACGGGCTTCGCGCGCGCGCATGACGAAATCTGTCGAACGCCCTTGCGCGTGTGCCGTCGCGAGAATCCTTTGCAAAAAATGGGACAAAGTGCAGACGCGCGCGTCGTCGCGCGCGTATGACGACAACCTTCAAAACCCATCGGTTTCGGAAGGATTTCCAAATCGTGTGTCCAAAAAACCTACAAAAACAAAAGGTTTCGCAACACGGATTTTCAACAAAAGCGTGCGCGCGCGCTCTTGCGTCGTCGTCGTTGTCGTCGTCGTCGCCGTCCTCCCTCCTCCCGCGTCGTCGTTGTCGTCGTCGTCGTCGCCTACGTCGTCCTCTGTCTTTCCTCGTGTTCGTCGTCGTCGTCCTCTTTGGCGTCGTGGTCGTTCCCGTCGTCGTTGTCGCCGTGGTCGTCCTTCCTCCTCCTCCCTCGTCGTCGTCGTCGTCCGTCGTCGGCGTCTCGTCGTCGTCCCTCCTATTTCGTCGCTGTCGTCGTTGTCGTTGTCGTCGTCGTCGTCGTCTTCCCTTCCTCCCTCGTCGTTGCCGTCGTCGGCGTCGCTGTCCTTCCTCCTTCTTCGTCGTTCGCGTCGTCGCCGTCCTCCCTCATCCCTCGTCGTTGTCGTCGTTGTCGCCGTCGTCGTCCTCCCTCCTTCCTCGTTGTCTTCGTTGGCGACGTCGTCGTCGTCTTCGTCGTCGGCGTCGGCGTCGTTGTCGTCTTCGTCGTCGTCGACGTCGGCGTCGTCGTCGTCGCCGTCGTCGTCGTCGTCGTCGTCGGCGTCGTTGACGTCGTCGTCGTCGTCGGTGTCGTCGTTATTGTCGTCGTCGGCGTCGTCATCGTCGTCGTCGTTGTCATCGTCGTCGTCGTCGTCGTCGGTGTCGTCGTCGGCGTCGTCATCGTTGTCGGCGTCGTCGAAGTCGTTGGAGACGTTGTCGGTGTCGTCGTAGTCGTCGGCGGCGTCGTCATCGTCGTTGTCGCCGTCGTCGTCGGCGTCGCTGTTGTTGCCAAGTGCCATTTGGTCCCCACCGTCACGGTCTTAAGAGATTTTGCAAACCAAGTTGCGGGTGGGTGGGTGGGATGATTGCGCGAGCAATGGAGTTGACAATTTCAAGTTCGTCAAGTGGATTGCAACACCTAGATTGCACCGCATTTATTACAAGGAATCATTGTTTGGGGTCCACGCTGGATAACATGGCGCTCATCATTAGGACTTGTTATTTCTATACTCATGATTATCGGATCGCGTCGCCGTCGTCGATGTCGCCGAGGTCGTCGCTTCGTTGGTCTTTCGGCGTTTCAGAAGAATCTCTCTTCGCCAAGGCTGGGCGCGGCTTTAAAAACGGGCCAGGACGGACCTTGGGAGAGCCGCGGTTGGAAGGGGGGCAAGGAAGCCCAAACATCTGGCGGCTCGAAAAAAACGGGATTGCCCGTGTCTTGCACGCTTGGGGCCCTTAGTGGCCGACCAGCCTCAGGGAAGGGGTCGAGAGTCGAGAGGTCGCGTGGGGGCGCGTCTCGAAAGAATCGAGCCGCCGCATGCCTTGTTCAGTAGAGGAGGACGAGGGGGGCAGTTAAGGAGGACGAGAAGGAGGAGAAAAATCTAGGTTCGAGTATCGAGATCCCAGATGCTTGGACGTCTTTCGCCCGTTTGGGGCTTCCGGGATGTTGACGTTGTTACAGCTGGGTTCCCATTCTAAATTCTCCCCAAAACTCACTGGGGGGCGATTTTCCTGGCAAGGGCCCCAGCCCAGAGTTTTCTTTTTGTGGTCGGACCTTTGGCTATAGACCAGAAGAATGTCAAGCAGCAGTCGTCGGATTCTTCACGCGTCAGAACGTGCGCGAGGGAGGGGGGTCGAACATGCGTCTTGCACGCCTGCATCTTGCACGTTTTTACGCACGCTGGCGCCAGGGGACATGCCATGCCCTTTTGACTTGCAATTTGCCGACCAGGGGGGTTATCCAACATGCGTGTGGCACGAATCCTGCCGCGCACTATGTTTCACGTGTACCTGACGACTCTTTTTTCTGGTAAGGGCTCCGGCGCAGAGTTCTGTTAAGTCGTCGGATTCTCGGCTATCGACCAGAGCGTTGCCAAGCAGCAGCCGCCGGATGTTTGGGGCAGTTCTTGGCTATTTGATTATCTTGGTTTCCCCGTGGGTCCCCAGAGACCCCCCAGAATTGTCTTGACGTCCCCAGAGCCCCCTGGAGAACCTCAGAGGCCTCGAGAGGTTTCCCGAGGCTCCTAGAAAGAGTAGCAGGAGGAGGAGGAGGATAATAAGAAGAAGAAGAAGGGAGGAAAACGAGGAGGAGGAGGAAGAAGAGGAGAAGGTCGGAGAAGAGGAAGAGTTTGAGGAGGAGGGGGAGGGGGAGGGAGATGAGGAATTGTGGGAGGTGGGAAACGAGGAGGAGGAATGGGGGGGGAGGAAGGAAGGGAAGGAAGGGAGGAGAGTAAGGACGGAAAGAAGCAGGAGGTGGAGGAGGAGGACAGAGGAGGCCTGGGGGTCCGCCTGGCTTATTCAGACTGTTGGGCCCCCTGGCCCTGCCAGCCACGGCCCCCGAGGACCAGATTTGCCCCGTACAGCGCCCTCCTGTTCTGCGACGTCGCGAGCAACCTCATCGACGAGAGCATTTCCTCGGCCCCGATGGCGCTGAGGAGCGGGGGGGGAGGAGGAGGAGGAGGAGGAGGAGGAGGAGGAGGAGGAGGAGGAGGAGGAGGAGGAGGAGGAGGAGGAGGAGGAGGAGGAGCGGGTGGGGGATTCAGGGGGGGAAGGGCGGAGGAGGAGGAGGGAGGAAGAGTGGGTGGAGGATGGAAGGGGGGAAGGGAGAAGGAGGAGGAGAATGAGGAGGAGGAGGAGGAGGAAGAGGAAGAGGAGGACGAGGAGGAGGAGGAGGAGGAGGAGGAAGAGGGAGCAGGAGGAGGAGGAGGAGGAGGAGGAGGAGGAGGGTGTGTGGGAGGAGGATCGGCACGGAGAACGGAGGAGGAGGGGGAAGCAAGAGGAGCAGAAGGATGAGGAGGAGGAGGAGGAGGAGGAGGAGGAGGAGCGCCTCTCCTGGGATTGGCCCCAGATGGCGCTGAGAAGCGGGCTTCCTCCCGAGACCTCTCGTCCCCGCCTCGTCGTCGTTCCCCACCTCCTCCTTCCTCTGGGCCAAGAAAGTCGAATGGCCCACCTGTGGGGAAACTCTCCACTCGGCTAGAGCTGGTACTCCACTCACTCCGAAGCCCCTCAGATGCCACCCCAGGTGCATGATTTTCGACCCCACAAACGTATAAAGAATGCGATCACCAACGTTTTGGTAAGGGTGTGGCGCGCGCGGCGCGCTGGCAGGACAGGTCTCGCTCAGCTGCATGTTATCACGAATGCCTTTGCGAGTGCGAATTGGCCAGGCATGCGAGCTGCAGCTGTGGAACTGGTGACAGATGGTCTCGCACGTCTCAGGTGACAGGATTCGAGGAGGCAGCAACCACCCTCACATGTGCCGAGGGATCCCGTTTGGTTCAACCAGGCTGTGGAGGCTTTCAAGAGAGACCCCTATGTGTGTTGTATATCGGCTCGTGCAGGCCTTTTCTTTCGACGGCCATACGAGGTGCGGGGGAGGCGGCTGGAGGCACGGGGGGGAACGGAAGATCCAGTGACCCAACATTTCTTGCTGTACAGGGTTGTCGACGCATCCCCGAGTCCGTGCGCCGATGACATCTTGAAGCTGTTTTTCAGCAGGGCCCCACCAGAGACTTAGCGAGCTCGCATCGGTCAGCGAGCATGCGAGTTTCTGGTGTGACGGGGCCCTCGCTGAGATAGGGCGCGAGCAAAACATGGCTGAGCAAGAGATTTGATGTGTTTTTCGGGGGTGGGGCTCCAGGCACGAGCCCTGAGGACAGGAAAAGTTACCCTCCCTCCCCCACCCAAACCCACTGCTAGATACCTAGGTGCGCGAATTGGCACTAGCTGTCTGTTGCTATGCTGATGAATTTGCGTACCGGAAGAACGCCGCGGCGGCCGCGTATCAGTCCTTCGGCAGTTGCTGGTCTTTAGAGAGACACCCCTGTACCGAATGAGACGCACACGCTTGATATGACCGCCTTCCACGGAGACGAGCCCTTCGTTTGCCCGGATAAGCAGCACAATGGACTTGATCATTTCTCGGGGGCGGCAGAGAGGGGGGTGATGACAAGTGGGGGATGGATATCATGGCGTGGGCCGTGATAGTTCCCCAGATCTCATGGCGCCTCTTCTTGTTTCATTACGTCCCCTGGCCCCCCCGCTGGGCCGCGCACATGCCGCCGGTCTTGACGCGCCTTGGTGAGGCAAAAAAGCACACGAGCCGGTGGCGTCGCCCGGAGGCACCGTCCAGCACACCCTCCAAGAGCACGCTGCGCGAGTCCCGGGGGTGTGGGCGCGTGGCCCCCGCGAAGCTCGAGACGCGGGCGTGGCGCCTTCGGAAGACTCGGACCATCATCACCCACCCGTCGGGGGCGGCAAAGAGGGGGGTGATGACTAGGGGTAGGGGGGGGACGACAGGGGGGGGGGGGGATTTCATGGCGTGGGCCATGATTTTTCCTCAGATTTCATGGCGCCTCTTCTTATTTCATTACGTCCCTGCCCCCCCCGCTGGGCCGCACACAAGCCGCCGGTCATGATTTGCACCCCCCCCGTCTTGAACGCCACCCTCTTTGCCGCCCCCGATAGGAAGACTCAGACCATCATCAGCCACCCGTGGAGAGAGTAACAGGTCCTCGCTTCCCGCTTCGGTCACCTCCCCGTCGAGACGGATGCTGCGATCGAAGAGTGCGGCGTGCGGAACGGTGCGAACCTTCTTGGGCTGTCCGAGTGAGAGGTGAAATGCTGCAGGGGGGGGACTTGCCAGATGTTACGGTATTAAGCCAAGGTGTTTGTATGTGTGTTGTGCCGCCTCTTGGTTGGACCCCAGCTCATGTTTCTCTTCTTGAGCCCCCCAGCCTTTCCAGAGCCACCGTTGAGACTCAATGGCTCTATGGGTATTGGGATGAGACGAGAAAGGCATGGGACAACACGTCCAGCACGTACAAGGGGTCACCTCACATAGAATTGCAAAACGCAGACTGAGAGACATCTTGATTCGAGCGGTCACGACAAATGTGTGCCTTCTGTCTCATCATTTTCGATTTTGTAAAGACGGCACGGGGACACTTATTAGCCACAGTCCCTCGTAGGGGCAGGTGCGTGGATCGTTTGCGACAGTACGGAGGACGCACGCGTCCAGATCGAGTTGGGTGTCGTATGTGTGATTAAGGCTCAAACGTTTGAGCAGTTTCGGTCACATCTTCGAAGTCACCTCCCACCTCTCGACGTTCTCGCATCAGGTACCGAGCGCCGCCCGCAAGTCTCGCGCCATGGCGCTCAACCTGGCAACACCGCCCTGTGGGCCGGCTCGCGCGGCGGACGGCGAACCACAGCAGAATCCTCAATTGTTTCGTAGTTCACCTTAGGTGTTCCTCTGGTTGTCGATGGGAAGTCGAAGCTTTACTACGGAATAGAGGGGGCCTCGTTCCTTGTTGAGGGTTGCTTAGGTCAGCGTCTCGACTGTGTGTCGTGGGTGACCCTTCCCATCAGCGCGTCGTCACCAGCGGCCAAGGAGATGCTGCAGCAGGGCAAGGATGACGACGAGTCCGCCAAGGCCGCCGAGGTCGTCACGCACGTCTTGGCTGGTCTACTCCGAGGGCTGGGGGACTATGTACGACGACCTGCCAGCTCACGATGCCAAGATCCCGCTGGGCTTCTACTCGGAGAACGCGGGCGGCCCCAAATTGCAAGGCGGTGGATATTCCCAGACAGTCGCTCTATTGCAAGCGCATGGTGGCCAAACAGAGCGCAGGCAAGGAGGAAATGGCCAAGATTTCCTTGGCGATGCACGACACCCGCGGCGAGATCCAGGATCTGTGCACCCGCATCTTGGTGGCCCACGGACCGGCGATCAAGCACGGCCTTCTCCCCAGGGGCCATCCGAAAGGGCGGCGCAGGAGCTTCTCGAGGCGCCCGAGGGCGGGTCTTCCAGGCCGAAGGCGAAGGCGAAGGCGAAGACGTAGGGAGAATCAGGCTGCCACACACTCAGAGAGTGCAGATTGCCGCGTTCAGTATGAGGCTGCTTACTCTTGCTGAGCGCGGGATTGTCCCGCTTGAAGCAGCCTCGAGGCAGGCAGCGCCGACGGCGACAGTCTTCCTGCCGCCACAAGCACGTGCCCGACCCAGGCGCCCGCCGCAGCAGGGAGGGGGGAGGGCGAGCACGAGTGCCTCGAGCGAGCTTGTTTCAGATGGTCACTCCCCTGATGGCTCTTACATGTATTCAGTTCTTACATCCCCGCCCACGCCTTAGTCTTCTTCTCGTGGGCCACTTCGGCGCCTTGCACGTTTCATGCTCGCTGGGGTGGGCTGTCTTTAGATTTTGTCTGGTTTGGGATTCCCCGAACGCCATGCGAGTGCGAGGCTGCCTCTCAGCCTCTCAACAAACGAGGGTGGCACAGATCACCCGAGCAGTAATCCTGCCTGCAAGTTTGCAAAGTTCCCCGAGGTGTCCTCAGGGCGTCGACACGTTTAATATGACAGCTTTAAGTTGGCAAACTGCCAGATGATGCCCAGGCGTCTCACGTGATCAGACGAACCCAGTGCACCCAGAGCTCGATTCGATTCCTCCTCCTCGTCCTCCTCCTCATCCTCCTCCTTCTCCTCCTCCTCCTCCTCCTCCTCCTCCTCCTCCTCCTCCTTATTTTCTTCCATACGATTAAACGTGTTTGAACCAACCTGCCTGTCTTTCACATTGCGCGGGCTCGGCGGTCGGTCGGAGCGCGGGCGAGCAGCGCGCGCGCGGGCGGCTCGTGCTGCAAGTTCCAGGACCGCCCTGCCGCCGCTGGTCGCCACCCACCCCGTGCCGCGATCCTCACGGTGGGCATGGGGCGACCTCTGGTCGGGAGCCTTGGGGCGGGGGTCCATGCAAACGGGGGTCGGCCAGAGCGCCACCAAAGCTTGCAGGATCCTGCGGAGCCAGGGTGCAGCAGCGTGGTTGGCCTGGGTTTGCACTCGCCCGGGACAGCCGATCCCCACTTTGGGGGCCAGGGAGTGGGCCATCAGACCCCCTTCATTCAGGGGTGTGCGACTTGAGCCGCGCGCGACGCTTCTCCGCAGAGTCGTATTCCTCCTCCTCCTCCTCCTCCTCCTCCTCCTCCTCCTCCTCCCCCTCCTCCTCCTCCTCCTCCTCCCGTTTCCTCTCCTCAGCTCTCCTCCGTCCTCCGCCTCCACCTCTAGGAAATAGGAGGAGCAGGACCAGGAGGAGGGGCCTTCCTCCATCTCGCTCTTCCATCGAATGGGGCATCTCGGAGCCCTTCTCAGGTTGCCTTGGGTTCCCGGGGCCGCTCCAGGGAGCCGCCGCCGCCAATGCCGCTGCTGGTGCCAATGCCGATGGCGCCTCGTGTGTTCTCATACGCGTTCTGTGCCCCAACTCGTTCCTGGCGTGTCCCACCCGTAGCCCGACCGGCGCCTGCACTGGCTTCGACCTGTTTGCGCCCGCTGACTTCAACAAGTGTTCTCACACACGGCCCTCCAAGCTATCCGACCCGTTCCCTGGGGCCGGCTTCTCGTCCCCGTTTTTCTGATTGCATCCAGGGCCCGACGCAGGCCTCCAGAGGACCACGCCGAGGAAGTCCCGGCCGTCATGTTTCTTCACGACGCCTGCCCGGCCTTCGGCGGAACGGCGCCGTTGGATCGAAGGCCAAGCAGGGCACCCGAGCTTCGAGGGGTCGAGGCTCGAGGGTCGAGGTTCGAGGGTCGCCCGGCCGTTCCGTCGCCGCCGCCGTTCCGCCGAGGGCGATCCGCCTCTTCGGGCTGCTGCGGGTCCTGCGGTTCGCCAAACTGGTGGGCGACTTGGTGGAGCGCGTGCTGGTGGACGCTTGGCGGCTGGTGCTCCGGGGAGTGGAGGTTCCCGCGGCCCACCCTCTGCCAGAGGACGAGGACGAGGAGGAGGAGGGAGTGGACGCCACGGCCTTCGCGGGCCTACGACAGTGCAACGCGAAGAGGAGGACGAGGACGAAAAAGAAGAGGAAGAAGAGGTGGGCGCAGATTCAACCGCCCCCATCGCCTCCTCGCTGACCAGGTGGGCTTTTCCATTGTTTTTTGTTCTCCCTGTGCCTGTCCTTTTTCTTGCTGCGCCCATCTAGTCATAACTTGTAGGCCACCGCGCCTACGTCGGTGCAGGTTCTTTGCATGCTCCACACGAAAGCAACAAGCCTCGATGCTCAGAGTTTGGCCATCGTCGAAAGGAGTAGGAGGAGGAGGAGGAGGAGGAGGAGGAGGAAAGCAGGAGGAGGAGGAGGAGCAGGAGGAGGAGGAGGACGACGACGACGACGTCGACGACGACGACGACGACGATCACGGCAAAAGTATGTGGGCGCTGGCCGCCGATGCCCACTTGGCTGGAGTGCGGCAGTGGGTGTGCGCGGGGGAGCGCGCCAGTCTCTGCCAGAAGGGGAGGGGGGAGGACGACGACGAGGAGGAGGAGGAGGAGGAGGAGGAGGAGGAGAGCTCGCGGCCAGCGCCACCGCCGTCGCCGTCGCCTTCGACCTCCCATATGTGTACACATACAGATATATACATGTATGTGTATAGACATACATCTATATATATATATATATGCACAAGATGCTAGCAGCTCGCTACTCTTCGCCGTTGCGATCTTGGTCGCATGGCGCCAGCGAAGTGCGCTGCGACCGCCATCGCCGTCAATTGGGCATGGGGGAATGGGGCGGCGCGGTCCCAGGGCCTTCAGGGGTGGCGGGCACCACGGGTCTGGAAGGTCTCGCGAAGGCTCTAGCGCGCACGAAGTTTGTATTGTGCATAAGGGTCGCATGACCACATGTCTCCTGAAGTTTGAACGGCATGCGTGGCCCATCGGTTTCAACAGGAACGAAGAGCTCCCTGGGGTTTTCATGCTTTCTGGGGCTGGGGCTGGAGCTGGGCTCGAGCTGGACCTGGGGCTCGAGCTGGAGCTGAGGTGGAACCAGAGCTGGGCCTGGGAAGCTGCTACAGCTCCCCGTCCTGCTCCTCCTCTTCCTCCTCCTCTGCCTTCTCCTCCTCTTGGGTAACACGAAACGCTGGACGGTTGGATCGGGGCACAGCAACTCCATCCTGGGAGAGGAGTTCTGACAACACGGAAAGCACGCTTACCCCAGCAAAGCCCTTTGATAGCAGCAAATGTGACCCATGGGAATTGGTGTACTTGTGGGACCTGCGGGTTTACCGAACCTGCGGCAATTGTGGGACTTGTAGACCCATGGGACTTGCGACACCTGTGGGGACTGCGGCACCTGTAGTAGGACGTGTGGGATTTGTGTGACCTGCGATACTTGTAGTGGCTGCGATGCCTTTGGGACCCGTGAAACGTGCGGGACCCGTGGGACCCGAGGGACATGTTGGGCATGTGGAGCCCGCAAGACGTGCGACACTTGTGGGGCCTGTGGGACGTGTGCGACTTGTGGGACATGCGGGACTTGTGGAATGTGTGGGTCCTGCGAAACTTGTAAACCTGTCGGACCCGTGGGGCTTGTGGGACCTGTGGGACTTGTAGGACTTGCGAGATCTGCGAAACCTATGAGATTTGTAGTACATGTAAACTGTATGGGACCTGCGGGACCTTCCACACCTGTGGGACCTCTTGGACTTGCGGGACATGTGGGACTTGTGAGACTTGTGGGACCTGTGGGACTTGCGAGGCTCGTGGGACCTGGAGGACCTGCGAGACTGGTGGGACCTGTTGGACCTGTGGAACGTGAGGAGACCTGTTCTGAAACCTGCGAGACCTTTGGGACGGAACTATGGAACGTGAGGGACTTGCAGAGGCCTGTATGGGAGACTTATTGGGATCTTTGGGGGGCCTCCGAGATCAGATTATTGAAGCATTTCTGAGGCTCCCCCAGGGTGTCTTTTGAAGACGCCTTGGGGGCTTTGAGGGCCTCTTAGGGCCCTCTTGGGGGCCTCTGGGGCCATTTGGGGGGCCCCTCAGTGGTCTCCAGGGCCATGTTGGAGGGAACAGCTCAGAATGTCAGTTCGCGTTGTCCTTCTTGGAACCCTCTGGGGCCGTTTTGGAGGGCTTCTTGGGTTGTCTTCGGGCCCTCTTGGGCCGTTTGGGGGGCCTTTCGGGCCGTCTTGGGGCCATCTGAGGAGCCACTGTGGCCGTCTTGGGGCGATCTTGGGGGCCACTTGGGCCGTCTTGCGCGGTCGGAAGCTCGAAAAAACGAGAACGTTGAAATCGATCGACAGCCCAGGAAAAATCAATGAATTTCGGCGCCTGCGGCCCTCTTGACGGCCATCTTCGTTCTCGAGCGATCTTGGGTCGTTTCGGTGCTCTGCAGGACCGTCCGGGAAGCGATCCTGGGCCTGCTTTGGCGGATTGGGATGACTTGGAGGGGCCCCTGGAACCGAAAACTCGCATTTCTTCCCGATGGGAGCGCCCAGGGCCGAATTTCGGTACGCTGGGGGGGTCCGTACGAGGGGGGGAGGTTCTTGATAAGAATATTCAAAAAGGGGTGCATTTAGTGTATAGGCATGGCCGGCGCAGCACCTCCTAGGAGCGGTCGTTATTTGCGAGTCGCTCTCGGCGGCCACATATCGTGGCAGTCGGTTGATCTCGACTGCCGCGCGCGATATGTGGCCGCACGGCGTGGTCCCCGGCCTTGGTCGATTTTTTCTGTTGCGGCCGCCGTCCGACCCAATCGGGCGGCAAGGCCACACTGGAGGGAGAAGTTTCGCGTCGGCGGGAGAACGAAATCAACCCCTGATGTCCCTCCTCACGCTCCTCTCGTTGCTGCTCTGTTCTTGTCGCCTCCCCCCTTCTGTAGCATCACCTTTCGGGATGCAAGTGGCAGCGACCCCAACCAGCTTGAGCTCGTGAGTGAGTGAATGAGGAGGAGGAGGAGGAGGAGGAGGAGGAGGAGGAGGAGGAGGAGGAGGAGGGGAAAGGAGGAACCTGAGTTCGGGGGGGTAGCGGGTTTTCAGGGCGACTACGGAGGGTGCTTGGGGGGTCCAGGGTTTGGAGGGGCTCTGGGGGAGATGGGACGAAGCAGGAGTAAGAGGAGGATGAGGAGGAGGAGGCGGAGTTGGAGGGGAGGCATCGTCACCATTATTACCATCGCCACCACCACCACCGTCATCAGTATCACCCGTAGCCAATTGGCTTAAGCAGTGCATGCCGCCCTCGCCCTCGCTCGTTGAAGGATCTACGGTTGTCGGCGCGATCGGTCGGTCAAGCGACAACGGACGGCGAAGGAGGGGCAGCAGGAGGAGCTGGCCGCGCGCTGCCGAGCCATGAAGCCAGCCGCGCGCCGCCAGCCTCCGGCGCTGCCCGAGGCGCTCGCGGAACCGAAGCACGACCAGCGTGGCGGGCGTCGCGGCCCACGGGCCCCGCGCAGACAGGAACGTGGTGGAAAAGCGATTCGGAACACGCTGCGAACTCCAGCAGGGAGCAGCGACGTCGTTTGGCCGGCGCCGCACAGAGAAGTCTGCGGGCACACCCCCGTGGGCCAGTTTCTGCTCTTGAAACCCTATCGGCTGACACGCGGCTGACTTGGAGTATGAGGAACCAGGCCGCCCCTCGCCCCCAGGGTAAGCCAGCCTCTGTGCGCTTGCAGTAGGCACCCGCGCCTGCGCATCATCACGGCGTAGCCGCATGTCTGGCCAGAGTAGCTTCTGCTTGGCCCGCCCGGCGCGGCGGGCGGGCACGCGCGCGCGCGCCCACGCGAGGGGGGTGCCATGCCTCGTGGCCTCGGGTGCGGCCGCTCCGGGCGGGCAGGGGTTGCTGCTGCTCCCTGCTGCTGGTGCTGCTGGCCCGCTCGCTGCAGGTCCCCGCGCGGCGGAGTGCGCGTGGGTCCGGGGGCACCGCTTGCACTCTGCAGCGTAGGCCGCTCGTACGCTGCGCTATCGACAACGCTCGGTCGCAATTGGCACTTCCATCTGCTGTTCGCGCCTGAGGACCCTCTGCGCCGCTGACCTAATAGTGTGTCTGGGGTTTCGGGCCCCTCGCCGCCTCGCGCCCAGCGTCGAAGTGTTGGGGCTCTTCCATGGGGGGCTGGTCTCGCCCGCTGGCCTGGCGCCGGGAGTATGTCTGGCATTCGGCGGTGGGGAGGCCCGTGGCTTCGTTCGTTCTAGCCGTCTCTTCCAGCCGAAGCGACGCAACCATCAGCAGCTTCGGCATCAAAATCAGCAGCATCACTACCATCACTGGTGTCGTCATCACCAGAATCCTGCATCATCATCCACATCATCATCACCCTCATCATCATCATCATCATCACCTTCATCGCTACCGTCATCATCCAGACATCATCATCACCATCATCGGCGGCATCGGCGTCAGCATCGCCATCACCAACAGCATCCTGTTTATTGTGCTCGTGCTCGTCTACCTCCCCCGCCCCTCCCTATGCTCGACCAGGGGAAGGAGCAGCAGCAGAGAGAGAGAGAGAGCAAGAGTCAGAGGAGGGCTGCCCAACGAAGGTCTTCTTGGTCATCATATGGCTGAACCACTTGTTCTCGTGCTGCTGGTACTACATAGGCCAGAGAGCCCATACATCCTTCTCTTCCTAACAAAGTACTCCAGATTTCGTAGTAAAAGGGAGGGGGTCTCAACCCTCCCAGACGAGAAGTTTTAGACCCTCCCAGACCATCCATGAAAAGGTGGCCCTTTGCCCAGACCCCCCGAACCTTCCAAGACAGCTCAAATCAGACCCCCCCCCAAATGTGACCCCCCCCACTTTATTATGGAATCCGGAGCAACCCTTGGACGTGCCCATCCAATCCAGAGGACACGTGACCTCGTGTGGGAAATTGCGGGGACCCTTCGTGCCCCAGGGCTCCCCCCCCCCCCCACCGGGGAGCACAGAGAAAAGCGGCGTCCGCTGCGCGCCTGGCAGCACCCACGCGAGGGGCGCAGTCTCGTGTGGTCCTGCGTGGGCCATCCTTCCGCTGGGACCCCCCCCCCGCGCCAGAGCGCGCGGGGACCTTTCCAGAGCGCCTGGAGGGGGGTGCAGCGTGCGATGTGGTCTGCGATCCACGTCAGCCCGTTCGCGATCCGGTTGTCAGTCCGGTTCGACCCGCTCGCGGTCCCCCGGCGGTCCGGTTGGCGACTCGGTTCACCCCGAATCGCAGCGATTTGGTTCCAGGCGATGCGATCACGATTGTCCGAGTCAATGCAGGGTTGATTTGGGGAAAGTGGCGACGGTCGCACGCTTGGTAGCCAGGGAGGGCGAAGTCTCACGTGGACCTGCGTGGTCCACCACTCCGCTAGACTCCTCGTGGCACAGGAACGTGGCGGCAGTTGCACGCCTGGCGTTACCCAGGGATGGCGAGGTCTACTGTGGATCTGCGTGGTCCACCATTCCGCTGGACCCCAGGAGGGCAGGAACGTGGCGACGGTTGTACGCTTGGAAGCACCCATGGATGTGGTGAGGTCTACTTTGGATCCGCGTGGGCCATCGTTCCGCTGGACTCCCCAAACACGCAGGGAAAGCGGCGACACCTGCACGCCAAGCGCATACGTGGCGGTGCCTAGGGATGGTGATGCCTACCTGCGTGGGTCACCACCCCGCTGGACCCCCCAGCCGCGCATGGAAGTGGCGGCCTCTGCAAGATTGGCAGCACCCAGGGGATGGCGGGAACTAGTTCGGCGTCGCGTGGGTCACCAGTCCGTGGGAAGTGGCGAAGGCACGCACGCCTCGCAGAACCCGGGGATGGCGAGGCATCTGCCGGATGTGCGCGGGTCACCTCTCCGTTGGACCCCCCCCCAGGGGCGCAGGAGAGCGACGCCATCTGCACCCTGCACGCCTGGCAGCACCCAGGGGTGCGGCGAGGTCTGGATCTGCGCGGGTCACCGCTCGGCTGGGCCCCCCCGGGAGCGCTGGAGAGAGTTGCGACGGATGTGCGCTTGGCGCCCCCCTGGAAGGGCGAGTCTGCTGCGAGTTTGCGTGGCCCACCGCTCCGCAGGATCCCAGGGCACTCAGAAGGATAGCGACAGCGGCGCTCCGCACGCGTGGCGCTGCCCAGGGGAAGCGACGTTTAGCTCGGATCCCCTCGGGCCATCGTTCTGCTGGACGTGTGCACGCTTGGCAGCGAGCATGGAAGGCCAGGTCCACTTCGGAAATATATGCGGTTCACCACTCAGGGGCACTGGACAGTGCCGACTGATGGCACGCCTCGCGGCACCCAGACATGGCGAGGTCTGCTCAAGATCTGCGTGGATCACCCCGCCGCTGGACCACCGAAGGGGCACAGGGAAGCGGCGACAGCTGCACGCATGGCAGAACCCAGAGAGGGCGATCGACGGCTCGACGCCTGGCAGGGAGAACGGGAGGGGGCGAAGGAAGCAGGAGGCGCGGAGGGTGGAGGATGCGAGAGGAGGAGAGGCAGCAGTGCTCTATTTAAAACGGCGACCCGGCACAGGAGGGGTGGGAAGGTAGCATGATTGACAAGCAAGGCCGGAAAGCCCACAGCGACACGGGCGGGCGCTGGTTCGATTCTTTGGACGTGGCCGGGGACGTTCCCAGTGGCACCCTCGACCCCGTCGGGGAGTTCGAGCGCGCCAGCGACCTGTACCGCTACATGACGTCGCTGCATTGGACATCGGGGCACGCACAATCTTGAATTGTTTGCCTTCTACCCGTCACGATCTGCACCGCTCCGCGACGCCGCTGCAGACGGCCACGGGCCGCGCACCGTCTTCGATCCTCTGCTGTCTTCGGCCCCCTCCTCGTCTGCCCTCGTCGCGACCTGCACTGCTGCGTGACACCGCTGCCTTGGGCATCCAGGCGTGCACCGTCTTCCGCCCTCCGTTTCGCTTCCGCCCCTTCTTCTTCGTGCGCCTCATCATCACCATCATCGGCATGGTCAGCATCAGCATCATCAGCATCACCGTCATCATCACTAGCATCGCCATCACATGCCTCCTGCTTTCTCCCAGCTCCTCCCAGTTCCACCCCCATCCTCGGCCCCCAGCGTCCCCCCCAGAGGCCAACGTGAGGCGCTGCAGAGCCTGCGCAGGGGGAGCAGCAGTGGCGCGGCGCGGCGGGGGAGGGGCCGCCCCGGCAGGGGAGGGGGGGAAAAGCTCGATCGCCCGTCCGCGGAGGCCGCCACCGCAAGCATGCTGGCGCGCCCCCGCCCCCGCCTCCCCTGCGCCCTGCCCCAGGACGGGGGCCCGGGGCCCGCGCCGTGCCCGAGGGCACGCAGGCAGTGCGTGGCCGAGGCCCCCGCGCCTCGCTCTGCGCCGCAGGGGCGCCGGTGCCCGCGGCGGGGCCCAGGCGCCGCGCGCGGGAGGCGGGAGGGGCCAGCGCAGAGCCCCTGCAGCCAGGGAGACCAAGGCCTGCGCCCCTTCAGCCCCCCTCGCGGCTGGCAGGGGGCGGGACCCTGCGGTGGCCCTCGGGGCGCCGCTCGCCTCGCGGGCCTGCGGCGGCGGCTCGGCGGCGGCCCCCGCGCGCCTGGCCGCCGCCGAGACGCGGGGGGCGGGAGGGACCGAGGCCAGCACCACCAGGGGGCCCGCCGGGCGCTCCTGAGAGCGCTCCAGCGTGTCCCTGCCGCGGGCCTCGCGAGGGGGGGGCGAGCGACTTCACCTCTCCGAAGAAGACATCCACACGGTGGGGGCATCGGAACAAGGAACGTCTTCCCGTGTGTCCAGACTCTGGTGCGCTTCCCTCTCCTTTCGAGGCGAGGTGGGTGGCCTACGACCAGCCGTCCGTCGGTCGCGAGGCCGCGGACTTCTTATCCGGGCGTCCTTGTCCGAGGCCTCCGCCGCGCACCACCACCATGCTTGGACAGGGCCATCCTGGGCTCTGGCATGGTGCACAGACGCCCCCCCATGGCCTTGGCCAAGACAGCGTATGTCGCCGCGCCGTTTGTTCCGACGCGCGGCCGCACGTCTTGGGGAGTGCGCCGCGGCCACAAGGGCAAATGCCGCCTCGGGCGCAGGGTTTGCCGTGGGGGCTGCAGCGGTGTTGGTTTCGTCTCTTTGGGACGCGGGGCGCAGGGCTTGCCGTGGGTTTGCCATGGTGTCGGCGTCGTCCACGTGGGGCGCGTCGGGGGCAAGCGGCGCGGCGACGACAGTTGCCCCGCGACGGGGCCGAGGACTGGCCCGCCCCAGGCCAGGCGCGTTGGCGGCGCACAGCTGCACGGCTGCCCCTTGTTTGCGCAAGAACTTGCAGCTCAGGCCATCTCCGTCTGGCTGGTGGAAGACCCCTAACGCTGGAGTGCTCCCCACAAGCTACTCGACATGTGTATACATATGCCTGCCCCCCCCCCCCTGCATGGTGGCACAATCCTCCTCAGCGGTATCCCCGTTCTAGCTCTTTCCGCTGGTGCAAACGACCCCTGCCTCGCCGACGACGTAAAGAGTGTACACACATGCGGTGCCGCGTGTAAGTTCACAGCATCGAGCGGCAGCGCTGAAAAAATATCCGTAGCAGCACCAGCGGCGCTGGGTGGGAAGCGCGGTGTCCCAGCGCCCCCGCTGTCAAAGCCCGCCAGAGCAACAGTCGACAGAAAAATCCGGGGGAGGATGTGGCACGGACCCTGAGATCCCGGCGTTGCATGTTTTCTCACATTTGGCGCTCCTTGGCAAAAAAAGCGTTCCCCAAGAGGGGTGCGTTTCAAGCTACCCCCCCTCTCGCAGAGTAAAAATCACAAGCGAAGTGAGCCTACAGGCCCTCCTGCCGAAGCCCTACATGCTGCCACGCTGGTCCCGGGTACGCTGTGCTGGCGTTTCCGCCCACCTCCAGTCGACTAGATGTATGAGTGGAATTTCGCTGGAGTGGCCTCTGATGCGGGCCCACGGGGGTCCCCCGATTGCCGAGCGCGAAGCGGTCGATGCGGCTTGCGCGCCCAGGTTTGGCCACCCCGCATCTCCCGTTAGGCCGCTCACGAAAGGTCACCCTTGCCCAGGGTCACCCTTGCGTGTAGCCGAGTCGGGCCGCAGACCATCATTGATCGATCCGCTTCGAAAAATGCCGCAGGAAGATTGAGTCAAGGCATGCGGTCGCGATGTTTCGCGAGATTTCATGTTTCGCTACGTCAGGCCCCAGCGGAGGTCAGGGCCCCCCTAAACGGAGGTTGTGATAAACCGTGACAGTTGCGCGCCCGAGACAATTGCAGCCGTGCGTCGAAGCAGTCTACGGTCTTCTTCCTCTCCAGGTGTGCCATTTTCAAATTCCTGGTCGGAATGTCCTGGCCGAGGGAGCCATCCGGAGGCTGGGCGAGGGGGCATCGAGCTCACAGCCCTCGACCCCTGCCCGCGGCCCCCCCCAGGAGCATGTCGCAGCTTACCGCCGGCGGCGTCGAGGGGATCACCCCCCTGAACAGTGCCCGACTGATGTCGAGGAGGAGCAGCACCAGCAGCAGAAGGGAGGAGAAGTAGGAGAAGGAGGGGGAGGAGGAGGAGGAGGAGGAGGAGGAGGAGGAGGAGGAGGAGGAGGAGGAGGAGGAGGAGGAGGAGGGGGAAGAGGAGGAGACGCGAGTGGTGGAGAAAAGGAGCGAGGGAGGCGGGCAAGACGAACGGACGGACGGACGGACGAAGGGAGTGAGGGAGTGAGAGAGGAGGAAGAGGATGAGGAAGAGGACAAAAAAAAAAAAGGACGAGGCAGGTGGAGGAGGAAGGGGAGGACCAGGAGCAGCAGCAGGAGGCCCGTCGAGCGCTAGGTGCCGAACGCCAGTTCAACATCTTCTGCCTCCTGTTCGGCCTCCTCTTCGGGAGCTCCCTAGTATCGACCCTGTCCGCCACCATGACGCAGCTGAATATGATGAAGCAGGAGCAGACGCAGAAGCTGCTCCAGCTCCGGCACTTCCTGGACCTCGAAGAAAGAACGACATGAACATAAATGTTCAAGGGTCCGCACGGATTTCTTGGATCTGCGTTGGACCCCTTGGTGGCGCTTCTTGCGCCGCCCATGGCGCGCTCATCCAAGAAATCCGCACAGACCTTCGAAAGTTAAGGTGCGTGGGACTGTTTTTTCTGCTTCAAGGACCAGCACTCCATCTCCCCCACTCTGTGCGTCCGCGTTCAGAGGCAGGTGATGCAGCGCATGAGCAAGAGGCCCCAGCTCACCGACAAGGACGTGCTCGCGCTGTCGCTCCTCTCCACGGAGGTCCATGCGGACCTGCGCCTCGAGCTGATGGGCCCGCATTTGATGCGCCATCCGGTGCTGCTACTGATCTTCAGCATCAGCGAGGCAACCATCCGGATGCTGTGCCGCGACGCCGTCGAGATGATGGTCGTAGCTATGGGGGACACCGTCTTCGAAGCTGGGAAGGAGGCGGAGACCGCTTACTGTGTCATGGACGGGTCCGTCCGCTACGAGTCGGCGGCAGAGGGAGGGAAGATCGCTCTGTCGGAGATCGAGATGACAAAGAAGCCGCCGACGCGGGCATGCGGGCCGGGCACCTGGCTTTGTGAGGTCGCGCTGTGGACGCGCTGGACGCACGTGGGCACCTGCAGATCGCCGAAGATGACGCAATTGCTCACGCTCTGCGCCGAGTCGATGCTCCGCATCCTGCTCCGGGCCCACGTTGTGAGGGACGTAGTTGTGGATTACTGCAAGCAGTACCACAAGCGGGTCGTGTCGGCAGTCCCGCCCAGGCACACCTATCCGACCGACTTGGATGTGGCAGGCACAGATTTCTGCGAGCTGGTGCTGCGGATGGACCCGGCGACGCAGCTCATCGCGGGGGAGGCGGCCCTCCGCGTGCTGGGAGACAGCCTGGACAAGCGGAAGATCGCGAGGCTGGAGTCGGAGCTCCACGACGGGAGGTCCTGCATCATGATGGACGGCGATGAGATCCAGCGAGCCGTGGAGGTGTCGGTGTTGCACTTGGAGCGGGACGACCACTGCGTGCTGGCCCAGGTGGGGAAGATGACCAGCGACGGAGCGGAGCCCGTCTGTCAGCTCCCGGGCGCGAAGCAGCGGCAGGCCGAGCCGCCTTCGGAGGCAGTGCAGCGCATCCTGTCCAACATCGCCGGCCTCGTCCCCAGCATCGTGCTCGACGGGGCCGACCTGGAGGTCTACTGGAAGGAGTCGCCGTCCTTCGGCATCCGCACCAAGTACTTCCGCACCAGGCACTACGGCAGCGTCGAGCTCGGCGCACCCCCCGCGGAGGGGCCGCCGAGGGGCGGCGCGGTGCGCGCCGTGCCCCTGAAGGAGCTGCAGCACAGCGGCGAGCGCGAGGAGGAGCTGGAGACGGTGCGCACCGTGGCCAGCACGCTGCAGGCCCGAACCCGTCGGGGGGGCCCGGGGGGGCCCGGCGCCGGTCCCAGCCAGCAGGAGGGGCGGGCACGTCCCTCCGCAGGAGGACAGCGCAGGAGCAGTGAAGGAGCAGTCGGGGGACGATGTGTCGTCGCGCTCCTTCTGGGCTGCTTTTGAACCTTTCCTGATTCCTTGAGCGCTTCTGCCAAAATCCGCCTGGAGGAGGACATGCCCGACCGAAAGCCAGCAGGAAGAGCGGGCAGGTCCGAGGTTCTGTGTTCGGACCGGTTTTTTGCCTTTTTCGGCCACCGGGGGCCATGGTCGTGCCCCAGGACCGTCAGAAACGGAGATCGGGCGAAAATTCGCACCAATTGGATCCCAGGAGGGGTCCAGGAACCGATTTTGGGCGGGTTTGGCTCAATCCCCCCTCGCCGATTTTCTGAGGTCCCAATCAGTTCAGACCCCCCGACCGCCTCCGAGCTGCAGGTGTACCTGCTCTCGACGGGGCCGGACTCGGGGAAGCTGTATGCTTGGCTGCCGCTCGAGGACCTGGAGAGCCTGAGCAGCCGCGCGGGCGCCTTCATCCTCAGGAAGTGGATCGGCCTGCTCGACTTCTCCGCCGTCAACTGCGCGCCGACGACGGAGGGCGAGCCCCCCGAGCGCCACCCCTCTGAGTCCTGGGAGCTGGACCTGCCCCGGGCCGCCCCCTCCGCCACGCTGCCGCGGCAGCTCCTGGAGAAGAAGACCTCCTTCGCGTCGCTGGCGATGGCGCAGGAGGCGACGATGCGGGCCCCAGCGCAGACGCCGTGGTCGTGGCTCCGCGGCCACGTCTTCTCGGCGCCCGGCGGCGGCGGCGCCCGCGCGGCCACGGCGCCAGCCTCGGCGGGGCGACGCGTGCGGCCCGTAGCAGACGGGGCGCTGGGCGAGGCGGAGGCCCCGCCGCCGCCGCGGGACGCCTCCGGCCCAGAGGCTCCTCCTCCTCCTCCTCCTCCTCCTCCTCCTCCTCCTCCTCCTCCTCCTCCTCCTCGACCCCGCTCGGCGTTGAGCGAGGAGCCGTTCGGCGTGGAGGCCGTCCAGGCCTTCGGCGAGGCGAGGGACCCCGTGCAGGACTTCGGCGAGGAGCCGTTCGTCGTCCAGAGTCTCAGCGAGGACTTCGAGGCGCTGCGCCTGCTCGCCGTGCACGAGGAGGGCGCGGATGACCCCCCGGAGCTGGCCATGTGCAGCAGGGGCACCGACTGCTCCGTCCAGACCATCCAGGATCAGGGCCGATTGGAGTAGGGGGCGCGCTCCTTCCCCGAGTCCGACCACAGTAGGGGGGAATAGGCTCAGGGACGGGGCGCATCGACCCGCAATCGTCCGCTCGTCGCCGAGAGGGGCCCCAACAGCCCACCCCGCCCCCGAACGCGCGGAGCCCCCTATCGGGAGACTGCGTCGCCGACCTATCGGCGATGCACCGCCGATTCCGGGTCGGCGTGTGCCCCCCCCCCACGAGCTGGTCCCCCCCTGCGCGGCCTTCCCTCCGCGCAGGAGTTCGGCACTGAGAGCGAGCGGCTATCCAGGGTGCCGCGGCCGCCGCACCCCGAGGGCCTGCCGGGGGCCTGCCAGGAGGCCTAGGAGCCGAGGGGGCCGCCGCCGGCGAGGTGCCGCGGCGCGCGGGGCCCCCTCGAGCTCCTCGGCGCCTCCTCGGGCACCGCAGCGGCCGAGGGGCCTTGGCCGTGGCAACTGCTGGCCAGGCCTCGGCCGCGTGGCTGCGGGGGGCCGCCCTCGCTGTGGGGGCTCTGGCCCGCGCTCGGTGCTGGGACGTTTTCCGAATTGGCTGCTGCGCCCTGCTCCTTGCCCCTGGCCGTGCGGGCGCTCCGGCTTCCACGGCGAGCGCTGAGTTTTCACCCGCGCACTGCCTGCCTGCCTCTTGGCTGTTCGCCCCCCCCCCTGTCTGCAGGCTTCTCGTCGCCTCCTCTTCACTCCCCTTCTCCTCTCTCTGCTTCTCTCTCTCTCTCTCTCGCTCCCTCTCCCTCTCTCTCTCTCTCGCTCTCTCTCTCTCTCTCTTTCTCGCTCTCTCGCTAGTTCGCTATCTCCATCTCTCTCTATCTCTCTCTCTCTCTCTCTCTCTCTCTTTTGCTCTCTCTCTCTCTCTCGCTCTCTCTCTTTCTTTATCTCTCTCTCTCTCTCTCTCTCTCTATATATATATATATATATATTGTCTCTCTCTATATATATAGATATATATGTATATATATATATATATATATATATGTCTCGTTATCTCTCTCTTTCGTTGTACATATATATACATATAAACATATATATATACCTACATACATACATACATACATACATACATACATACATACATACATACATACATACATACATACATACATACATACATACATCTATATATATATATGTGTGATTACATATATACATATATATATATATGTATATATATATGTATACATACGTGTGAAGGTGCGTATGCTTGTACATTTTCCTATTCCTAAATATTCGTTTCACCCGGAACCCTCCCACACACCCCAACCCCTAAACCGGACCCCCCTCCCCTGGGACGCCCCAGACGCCCTTTCGGACGTCTCGGCGGCCCCCTGGACACCCTTGGAACAGGTCCGCGGCCCTTCCGAGCCGCGCAGGGCGCCTTGCCGGGAGGCCCCCGCCCCTCAAGACGGCCCAAGAAGGCTCCCGGACGGCCCAAGAGGGCCCCAGGACAGCCCACAAGAGCCCCAAAAAGGCCCAGACGGCGTTCTCCTACGAAGTACATTGAGTTGACCCGACGATCTTGGTTCCACGGAGGCTCGAGGCTTAAAATCCTCGATCGAGAGAGCCAGGCAAGGGATCTAGATTCGAAGTTCGACGATCGAAGATTTCCTGAGTGCCTGGAGCCTTCCAGGCATTCAGGAAGCGACCAAAAATCGATCTCTTCCGAGCTACTGCGACTCCTTCGGCGTGTCATGGGAACGTCCTTAATTCCTCAAAGGACCTTCGCGCGTGAAAAAATCATCATTACTTCCCCGCTCCTGCGCACAAGCGTGCAAGCGCATCGGGCGAACGCGGTGTCAGCAGGCACCTGGCATATCAGAAAAATGAACCGGTCGCCCGTCCAGGCCTCGAGGTCCCCCTTGGTGAAGCAAGCGATGATTTATTGTTTTGCCAGGGAAGCGTCTGGAGCAAGGCGCATGGCGCGAAGCGCCAATACAGTCTTGTGTGTATATACACACATATATATATATACATACATACATACATACATACATACATACATATATATATATATATATTCCTATAATTATACATCCTGTAAGGAAAAATCCCCCCCGGATGGCCCACACACACACACCCCACATACCTTCTTGGACGGCCGCCCTTGGCCCCGGGGCCCCTTTCCAGCGGACTACCAAGCCCTCCAGGTCACCGAACGATGCGCGAAACGCTCTTACTGGCCCCCCAGCGGCCCAAGACGCCCGAGGACACCGGCCCAAGATGCCTCAGATGACACCGCGACCGCCCCGAGGCGACCCAAGACGGCCCAAGAGGCACCCAAGAGGCCCCCCCAAAGGGCCCCGCGAGGTCAAAATAGCCCCATTCCCATCGTAAAAAGTACATTCTCAACATATTCGCCTCTAGGCCTTTCATAACGTCCAAGTCGGCCCAAGAGACTCCCAAGACGGCCCAAGAGGCTCCCAAGAAGGTCCCAAGACGCCCAAAGAGAGCCCAAGAGTGCCCCAAGGGCCCCCAAGACAGCCCAAGAGACCATCTGGACGGGCCGCACAGGCGTCCCAGAAAACGAAAACCAAGTTCGAATTTCAAGCCTTCGGCTTCAAGAGGCCCATAGGATGCCCCCAGAGGCCCCCAAGAGGCCCCACGGGGCCCCAAGAGGCCCCCAGAGGCCCCCAAGAAGCCCCCAGGCGGCCTCCAAAAAGCTCCCATGAGGCCCCCAGGACGCCCCAAAAAGCTTCCAAGAGTCCCCGCCCCGGACGCCCCGAGCCACTCCTGGCGATAGCGAGGCTTCTGACAAGGAGAGGCAACGAATGGGCTTCCTGACGCGCTCTTGGGCCGTCTTCGAGCTTAAGGTGCCCCAGTCAAGGCCCAACAGGTCCCAGAAACGCCCAAGGATAGTTTCCCTGGGGTTCCCAAGAGACCCTCCAGAAACAACTGACCCGGAGACGCACCCAACCCTTTGTACACAAGAGGCGACTATACCCAGGACCGTTCATTTCCAACTTACGCCTTGAAGGATTCGCAGTATCCTTGAACGTTTCGCCAAAGAACGTGAGGCCGCAGACCAGTGTTTCCCATTCACGGCATCACTCTTGCGACTTATATCATCGGAAAGAGGGCGATCACGACTTGCCAAAGGAGCAATGACGAGGGGGCCACGAACGTGGCGACAGCTTCGCTGTTCGAAGCCCCCCGGGACGGCGAGGCCTCATTCTGGTCCGCGGATCACGCCTCTCCGCTGGACCCGCCAGCGGCCCACGAAGGTAGCGACAGTTTCGCACATCGCAACCCCCCACTCGTTCCCTCGTTCCTTTCCCAGTTTATCATTTTCCTCTTCCTCCTGTTCTGACTCCCTCCTCATCCTATCTCGCCCTCCTGGTGTGATCCTCCTCCCCCTCTGTCCTCTCCTCTCTCTCTCCCTCCTCCTTTCCTCCTCACCTTCCCCGACCGTCTCTCTCTCCCTTTTTCCTCGCCCTCCTCTCCTCTTCTTCCCTTCATATAATTTCCTCCTCTTCTTTCCCGATCGTCTCACTGCAATGCTCTGCCCTCTCAGAGGGCTACTGATTCCCAAGAGAAGCGCGACGACCATGCAGCATGCAGTCTGTTTGGCCCGGGGGACGTCCAGAGACAAGTTTCGGGTGCGTCTTTGCGGAGGTGGCCGCGACCCCCCTCGTGGTCACCAGTCCCTCTAACCCTTCATCGGTGACTATGGCCTCGTCGCGGTATGTCGCCGTCTCCCAAACACAGGAATGCTTATGACCCGTCCGGGAATTATGACGGGCCGCCACCCCTCTCACGGTCACCATGTGCTTGCAGACGTCATCCATTCACCGAGTGTTTGGGTGCGCATGGCCGCAGGACCAAGATTGAGGCGAAGCGAAGCGAGCCCTCAAATCTTATGTATATATATATATATATATATATATATAAATATATATATATATATATATATATATTCCTAATTATATCTGTATTACCCAAAACCCCCACCCCACCCCAGCCCACCCTAAACCGGACCCCCCCAGGGACGACCCAGACGCCCTCTCGGACGTTTTGGCGGCCCCCGGGGGCCTTGCGAGCAGATTCAAGGCGATCAGACGTGGCGCAAGAGAGACCCAACACAGCACAAGAGCGCTTCAAGAAAAACTTCGATGGTCCGAAGACGGCCCACGAGGCCCCCAAGACGCCCCAAGAAGCCGTTGAGAGAGCCCCGAAGAAGCCAAAAACGTCACATTCCCTTTTTAGAAAAATTAGCCTGGCGAAGGACCCAACCATATGCAGTTGAGAGTACCGCAGTTGTGAATATCTTCTTCGGTGGCGCTCCCTATGGGGCCACGAGCCGTATGAGGGGTGTGCCGAAATGCGTGGCAGTGTACACAACACGAGCGAAGACGATAGGTCCGAATATGAAAGCTTGAGCGCGTGCGAGTCGGATCGCGAGCGAGTCTGATTATGAATGAATCTGCGCGCGATTGATTCTATTCGCATGAATGCGTGCATGGATACGCCCAGTGTAAATGTATGTATACGACTGTGAACAGTTTGGGTCTGCGTGACTCTCGGTACTCGTGACTCTGAGCGTCGCCTCTGCAGGGGGCTTCCCTGGGAACCCCGACGGCAGCGCCCGCGCGCCGCGACGCCCATGTCGGCACGCCACACACCTGGTGTGCGGGACGCATGCGGACGGCAGCACTGGGGCCTTCGGTGGAGCTCCCTGTGGGGCCACGAAACGTGTGAGGGGTGTGCCGAAATGGGTGTGCGGGACGCATGCGGACGGCAGCCATGGGGCCTTCGGTGGAGCTCCCTATGGGGCCACGAAACGTGTGAGGGGTGTGCCGAAATGGGTGTGCGGGACGCATGCGGACGGCAGCACTGGGGCCTTCGGTGGAGCTCCCTGTGGGGCCACGAAACGTGTGAGGGGTGTGCCGAAATGGGTGTGCGGGACGCATGCGGACGGCAGCCATGGGGCCTTCGGTGGAGCTCCCTATGGGGCCACGAAACGTGTGAGGGGTGTGCCGAAATGGGTGTGCGGGACGCATGCGGACGGCAGCACTGGGGCCTTCGGTGGAGCTCCCTGTGGGGCCACGAAACGTGTGAGGGGTGTGCCGAAATGGGTGTGCGGGACGCATGCGGACGGCAGCCATGGGGCCTTCGGTGGAGCTCCCTGTGGGGCCACGAAACGTGTGAGGGGTGTGCCGAAATGGGTGTGCGGGACGCATGCGGACGGCAGCCGGCCTTCAGCCATGGGGCCTTCGGTGGAGCTGGGGCCACCGTGTGAGGGGTGTGCCGAAATGGGTGTGCGGGACGCATGCGGACGGCAGCACTGGGGCCTTCGGTGGAGCTCCCTATGGGGCCACGAAACGTGTGAGGGGTGTGCCGAAATGGGTGTGCGGGACGCATGCGGACGGCAGCACTGGGGCCTTCGGTGGAGCTCCCTGTGGGGCCACGAAACGTGTGAGGGGTGTGCCGAAATGGGTGTGCGGGACGCATGCGGACGGCAGCCATGGGGCCTTCGGTGGAGCTCCCTATGGGGCCACGAAACGTGTGAGGGGTGTGCCGAAATGGGTGTGCGGGACGCATGCGGACGGCAGCACTGGGGCCTTCGGTGGAGCTCCCTGTGGGGCCACGAAACGTGTGAGGGGTGTGCCGAAATGGGTGTGCGGGACGCATGCGGACGGCAGCACTGGGGCCTTCGGTGGAGCTCCCTGTGGGGCCACGAAACGTGTGAGGGGTGTGCCGAAATGGGTGTGCGGGACGCATGCGGACGGCAGCCATGGGGCCTTCGGTGGAGCTCCCTATGGGGCCACGAAACGTGTGAGGGGTGTGCCGAAATGGGTGTGCGGGACGCATGCGGACGGCAGCGAGGAGGAGAGAGGAGGAGAAGGAGGTGGGACGCGGGGCGCTGTCTCTTCAAAACGAGGACCCAACACCACAGGATGGTTGGGAAAAAATGTTTTTTCATATCCGCTTTTTGGGTCTTCGCAGCGTCCAAGACGGCACGATGGGCCCCCGATATCACCCCAGCACGGACCATGAGGCCGCCCAGAGGGTTCGAAGACGTCCCAAGAGAGGCCCAAGACTGCCCCAGAGAGCCCCGAGACTGCCAACAAGAAGCCCAAGATGCCCCCAGAAGGCTGCCAAAGGAGACCCACGAAAGCCATGGGAGACCCCCAAGAAGGCCACTGGAGGCCCCCAAAAGAGCTTAGATGGCTTCAGGAGACCTTTGGAGGACCAAGACGGCCCAAAAGAGCCCCAAAAACACCCAGACGGCGTTCTCCGGGCGATCGTTGCGCTCGCGCCAGCCTGCCTGTCTTTCCCGTACCTCGATCACCCTTTTTTTATCTCTCTCTCTCTCTCTCTCTTTCTCTATTTCTCTCCCTTCCCCTTTTGCCTTCTTTGTCGACCTCCATGTTCGTGGCATCCGATGGCCATCCTCATTCGCCCGCTCCTTCCTCTGGACCTTCTCCCCGTGTCTCCCCTCCTCCTCCCCTCTTTCCGCCACTTCAGCCCCCACCCTCATTTCTGTTCCTTTTCCGTTCCCCATTCATGGACAGGTATCATCGCAACAGTTTATTGTTTCGAGGTTTGCCAGCACCTTCACGCGTGAAAAACACTTCATTCCTTCCCCGGCGCACAAGCGTGCAAGCGCGTCGGGCGAACGCGGTGTCAGCAAGCATCAAGGAAGGGTTTCAGAAAAATTAGCAAATCGCCCGTCCAGGCCTCGAGGTCCCCCCTGCTGAAGCAAGTTATGATTTATTGCTTTGCCGGGGAAGCGTCCGGAAGCATGGCGCGAAGCGCCAACGTTGTCTTGTATATATACATATATATATATATATATATATAACATATATATACACATATACAGATACATAAACATATACATATACACATGTGTTCCCGAAGTGATGCTTCCATTTAGGGGTTTTTATTTCTGTCCCCCGGGAATTGGTTGGGTCCAGCGGGGATGTTGAACTTTCCGCCCGTTGCCGCCTCGTCGCCGCCTCGCGCGCTGGGCGGGTCTAGCGCAGTTTCGCCACAATTTCGGCCCTTTGCCGCTTTTTTGAGGCCTTTTGCGCTTGGGGGGTCCGGCGAGGTTTCGCCACGTTGCCGCCCGTTGTCGTTTATTTGCCGCCCGTTGTTGCTTCGCTGCCTTTCTCTATGTTGCACCATGTCTATTGGACCACACGGCTTACACGACATAGTTTGTAACACATAGCTTACACATCCACAACGCAATATAAATTATTGTTTAGGGTCGACGCGGGCTAACATTATTCCAAACACGCGTGAGCATTCCCTAAGCAGTGTTTGCATTTAGGGGTTCTTATTCGGGTCACTTGAACTGGATGGGTCCTCCGAGGTTTCGCCTCGTTACCGCCCACCGCGCTTGAGGGGTCCGCCGAGGTTTCGCCACGTCGCTGCCCGTTGCCGCCTCGTTGCCGCCCACCGCGCTTAGGGGGTCCGCCGAAGTTTCGCCACGTTGCCACCCGTTGCCACTTCGTTGCCGCCCACCGATTTTGAGTGGGTTCGGCGAGTTTTCGCCGCGTTGCCGCCCGTTGCCGCCTCGTCGCTGCCCACCACGTTTGCTGGATCTGCCGAGGTTTCGCCACGTTCCCGCCCGTTGTCGCTTCGATGCCGCCCACAGCGCTTGGGTGGTCCGGCCACCCGCGTTTAGTGGGGGGCCCGCCGAGGCTTCGCCTCGTTGCCACTTCGTTGCCGCCCACCGCGCTTGCTGGATCCGCCGAGGCTTCGTCACGTTGCCGCCTCGTTGCCGCCCACTGCGTTTGGGGAGTCCGCCGAGGTTTCGCCACGTTGCCGCCCGTTGCCGCCTCGTTGCCGCCCACCGCGCTTGCTGGATCCGCCGAGGTTTCGGCATGTTGCCACCTCGTTGCCGCTCTTAACGTTTGGGGGGTCCGCCGAGGTTTCGCTTCGTTGCCGTATCGTTGCCGCCAACCGCGCTTGGGGCGTCCGCCGAGGTTTCGCCACGTCGCCGCCGGTTGCCGTTTCGCTGCCGCGCACCACGTTTGGGTGGTCCGCCGAGGTTTCGCTTCGTTGCCGCACCGTTGCCGCCAACCGCGCTTCGGGGGGTCCGCCGAGGTTTCGCCACGTCGCCGCCCGTTGCCGCCTCGTTGCCGCACACCGCGCTCGGGGGGTCCGCCGAGGTTTCGCCACGTTACCGCCGCGTTGGCGCCAACCGCGCTTCGGGGGGTCCGCCGAGGTTTCGCCACGTCGCCGCCCGTTGCCGCCACGTTGCCGCCCGATGCCTCCTCGTTGCCGCCCACCGCTCTTGGGGAGTGTGGTGAGGTTTCGCCACGTTGCCGTTTGGGGGATGCGCCGAGGTTTCGCATGTAACTCACATCGACTAGACTACACAAGACAGCTTACATCGCAGAGCTTACACCCCATCGCGCTCACCTCTAGTTCACACCACTTAGTTTACTCGGCACAGCTTTCACCACATAGCTTTCACCGCATAGCGTTCGCCCAAACAGCCCACACCATTGAGCTTTCACCGCATAGCTTACCACGCTGGCGAACAGTTTTTGGGTTTGTACATGCATAGATGTACACGTGTAAAGTATGTGCATTTTTGTGCACACGCACATGCATAGATGTACGCATTGAGATAACTACTACGCACACAGAGTTCGACACCTATGTCCATATTAACGCATATGCACATGCGTGTGTTTTCACCCATCGACCCCGTATGTACAATCATGCATGCGCGCCTACGAATATGCATTATCGTACGCAAGTGTGCGGCGCTTGTCGTCGGTAGTTTGATTTGTTTGGCCGTTTCGCGTGGGCGGTCCTCAAGTTCTGAAAAGCGGATGCCTCCCTCACTCAGATCGCGACGTCGCAGTCCCAACATGTCTGCTAGATCAGATTCAAGGTCGTGTTGTCCAATTCTGCTCTCGAAGACCATGTTAGCCAGCGTCGACCCCAACAGCAAGTAATTGCACCGTGGATGTGCAAGCCATGTAGTCGAATCTTCGTGACGCAAGCTATGTGGTGCAAGCTATGTGACACAGCTATGTGGTGCAAAATCGACGAACCCCCCTAGCGCGGTGGGCCGCAACGAGGCGGCAGCGGGCGGCGACGCGGCGGAACTTAAACACACACCCCAAGGGGGCGGGCGGCAACGGGCGGCGACGCGGCGAAACCTTTACATGCCCCCAAGTGGGCGTCGAAGTTTCGACAGGCGGCGACGCGGCGAAACCTCGACATACCCGGCAGGTGGGCGGCAACGAGGCGGCAACGGGCGGCGACGTGACGAAACCTCGGCATACCCCGCAAGTGGGCGGCAACGAGGTGGCATCGGGCGGCAACGCGGCGAAGCCTCGACACACCTCGCAAGTAGGCGGCAACGAGGCGGCAATGGGCGGCGACGCGGCGAAATTTCGATACCGCCCAAGTGGGTGGCAACGAGGCGGCAACGGGCGGCGACGCGGCGAAATATCGGCATGCCTCATGTAAGGCGAATAAGACGCTCTAGCAGCACTGTGGCAGCGTTTGACATCTGAGGTAGGACAGTCAAGTCCCATCTCCGAGTTCTATGCGCCTGCGGCCTCTTCAGCCCCACGACACCGATATAAAAAGCGTGGCCCAAAGCCTCATGAGCTTGACGAAGCCCGCCAACCGCACGAGTTCGATTGATTATGACCCCTGCGCCTGGCAAACGTTCATCAATGACCCATGTGTGATTGGCGAAGCGGTCTCTTGTCTCGCTATTCTCGGCTGTTCACCCTCCTCCTCCTTCCTCGTATCCGTCGCGTTGCATTTATAGTTCTGGCCGTTTGGTCGCCCCGCCACGCGGCCCCCGCGCGCGCAGACCGCCCTCGGCCCCCGGCCAAGTGTGGAATCTCGGATCGCCGACAAAGCCTGTCCCGTGCAGCCATTCTTCTGGCCAATGATCATCACGACGATGACGACGACAACAACGACGACGACGACCACGACGACGACGACGACGACGACGACGACGACGACGACGACGAGAGCGACTCCGCTGATCTTGCGCCGGGCCAGCTTCGGCCCCTCCGCGGGCGGGGAGGCGGGTCTGAGGGAGACAGCAAAGGTGGAAAGCCCTCCTTTCCTCCTCCTCCTCCCTCTCCCTCGAAAGCAGCGGCAGCGTCGGCGACGGCCCGTAGCCTTGAAAGCCCCTTCCCACGACCCAGCGAGCTGGGATCGCTCCCCCCTTTCCCTTGCTTGTGATTGGGGACGCCCCCCGTCACAGCTTAAGATTGCGGCTCGCTCCCCCTCGTTTCACCCACCTTGTTCCCCCCCCCCGTTCCACCTACTCTGCTTCCCTCCCCCCTCCGAGGGGCCAGAGGGCGGGAGCCTGGACCCCTTCCCCCGTACTCCTGGCGGCCCCAAAACTGAGGCCCGCGAAGGGGCTGGCGCCAGCTGCCAGCCTGCACGGCCGTTGGGGCCCCCGAGGGGCACGGGCAGCGCCGAGGTCCCCGGAGATGGATGCCCCTGGCGGAGGAGGAGGAGGAGGAGGAGGAGGACGACGACGACGACGACGAGGAGGACAACGAGGATGAGGACAAGGACGAGGACGAGGAGGAGGAGAAGGAGGAGGAGGAAGCGGAGGCGGAGGCGGAGGAGGAGGTACTGGAGGTGAGGAGGAGGTGACGAGGACGAGGACGAGGACGAGTACGAGGACGAGGACGAGGACGAGGAGGAGGAGGAGGAGGAGGCGGAGGCGGAGGCGGAGGCGGAGGCGGAGGCGGAGGAGGAGGAGGAGGCACCGGAGAGAGGAGGAGGAGGAGGAGGAGGAGGAGGAGGAGAAGGAGGAGGAAGGAGGAGGAGGAGGAGGAGGAGGAGGAGGAGGTACTTGAGGTGAGGAGGAGGAGGAGGAGCAGGAGCAGGAGCAGGAGGAGGAGGAGGACAGAGGGGCTGCGGCGGGGCCTTCGAGCCCCTCGAGGCAGCAGGGGCCGTGGGGGGGGAGGGCGCGCGGGGGGGACGGTCAGCTGGGCGGCGGCCCACGGCAGCGACTGCGGGGGAGTCCGCCAGCGGACGAGGTGAGAGGTCCGAGCTTAGCGCGCGGAGATCAGCGTGGTAAGAGTCGGGGGCGTGACCAGAGTCTGGGTGATGACTGGGGGGCCTAGCTGCCTTGATACGCCCCTTTTGAAGCGCAGCACGTGCCGTGCTCAAAGCGTCCGTGTTGACACGCTGCGTGTTGGCTCAGCACGTGTTTGCCCACGTTTTGGCGAGCGTATCACGCCAGACCTACGTGTTCAGTCTACGTGTTGAACTCCGTGTCAACACGCTACGGGTTGTGTGTTGCGTATCCGGGCGGCCAATTAATAGGTGGGTGATGGCTGGGGGGAGGACATCATGGCCAGGACCATGATATTTCCCCGGCTCAGCTGCCTCGATACGCCCTTTTTGAAACGCACCACGTACCGTGCTTAAAACGTCAGTTCTATTATGTTGCGTGGTGGCTCAACACGTGTTGGCCCACGTGTTGGCGAACGTATCGCGTCATACATACATGTTCCGTCTACGTGTTGAGCCCCGCATCAATACGCTAAGTGTTGCGTCTTGCATATCGGGGCGGCTAAGCTCACCGGACATCATGGCCCCCCCTTCTTGTCTCAGCTTTCGGCAGCGGGCGAAGGGGGCCTTCTCCTTCTCACTTCCACCCCTTGCTCGCCGCCGCAGGACAGCCCTCGGCCCCCCCTCGGCCGAGCGCGTGCCTCGGGCCACGATCTGCCGCCCCCCCCTTGCCCCCCGCCTCTTGGACGCCCCCCCCCCCAAGCGAGCAGGAGGCGGGGCACGGCAGCGCAGAAGGCATCTTTGAAGCGTGCGCGATGGCAGCAGCACGGCCCGTGGCGCTCTGCACCAAAATCAGGAGGAGCAAATGCACAGCCACAAATCAACGTCGACCCCAGGGAAAGTTTGGAAGTGCAGGGGAAAACTAAGCTTTTTAGAAGAAATGGAAAATATGGGGGATCCCAGGATTTGTATCTGTTTATGTGTGTGTCCCTGGGCGCCTTCGCAGAAGGAAGCAGCTGCAGTCGAGGACCAGAATCTCGACGATGATGTTATCGAGGAGGGCTGGAGGCTCGGAATAGAAGTCCCGATCTCGAGACGTGGGCCCCCCGCACGGTGTCGATGCCAAGACGACAGGCACAAGCAGGTGCGCGGAAGCGTACATACGGTCGAGATTTTTTGGATAGCGTGTCGCGCCGCCCGTTTTGGCCCACCGCTCCTCGGTGCGACACGCTATCCACTTTCCGGCCCCGAGGCGTCAGCGTCCCGAGCTTTCCCGGGCCTCCCGCCCCGCGGAGCGGAGCGACACGCTAGCCGCTTGCCAGGCGCAGCGTGTCGTCAGGGCCGCCGCCGCGACGCGCTGTCCAGAAGCTCCCGACCGCAGAGCTCTCAGCCTCTCGAGCAGGACCCCGACGTGAAACTCTCCTGCGCGGCGTCGGCGCCGAGGCGCCGGGCGGGAGCCGCTGGCTGAGCTCCGTCGCCGTCGGGCCCTCGGGCGGCGCGCACGAGGGGGCGGCGTCGACCTCCGGCGGCGCGGCCGGCTCGGTGCCGGCGGCTGCTCCGCGGGCTCGGCGTCGGGGTGGGGGCGCGGCTTCGGGCCCCGGGGCCCTCACGGCTGGGTCCAGGGCGACAGGCTGTCGTCGGGGAAGGGGTCCAGAGGCTCCAGAAGTCCACGTCGTGGAAAGAGATCGACGTCGGGGGTCTGGGACAAGGGGGCGGCACGAGGGGAGGCAGTCTTCATCACCACAGCCCTCCCGGCCTCCGAGATGCTTTCAGAGGCGTCGGGGCCTTTCTGAGAGGAGGCTTCACCGATCCTCATCCTTATCCTCCTCGTCCTCCTCCTCCTCCTCTTCCTTCTCCTTTTCATGTTTTTTTGTTTTCTCCCTCCCCCGTCATCGTTTTGCTTCTCCTGTTGATTTTGCTCTTCCCTCTCACACCTCCTCCTCCTCCTCCTCCTCCTCCTCCTCCTCCTCCTCCTCCTCCTCCCCCTCCCCCTCTTTTTCCTCGTGCTCCTCCTCCTCCATCATTTTCTCTTATAGAACTCGGCTCTGTCGCACCCCCAGACGATTTAGTAAGGCGGGCTGGAAAGTTCGCCTAAGACGTCCTCACTAGTTCGGATCTTGAAGCTTAGAAATTAAATTGCGACAGCTTCAAAGATGGAGGGCGGGTGGATGTCAAAATGTGGCTCCCGCTTTAGCGCTCACACATTCGTCTTAAAAGACTGCACCATTCTCAGGGATGGAGGGCGGGTGGTTTTCAAAATGTGGCTCTTGCTTTAGCACCACGGACATTCGTCTTGAAAGGTTGCAACATTTTCAGGGATGGAGGGCGGGTGGTTTTCAATATGTGGCCCTCACGTCAGCACCGCGCTAATTCGTCTTCAAAGTTTCAGCAGTTTCAGGGATGCACGGCGGGTCGTTGTCAAAATGCGGCTCTCGCTTTAGCGATGTGCACATTCATTCTCACAGCTTTCAACAGCTTCAAGGATTCGTGGGACTGAAGTCCCACGAAAGGTGCTCTGGCACGTTTTAGGATCGTCAGGGCGCCATAGTCACGTTGATTCGCGACTTTGAAGTCCCAGGAATGGTGTTTCGGCGCGAGCGAGGATTCTTAGACGGGTGTTATCCACTGGGGCACTTCCCACCATTAAAATAGATACGCGTATAGACCTATGATGAGGGAGAAAAACGATGAAAACAACAACAACAACAACAACAACAACAACAACAACAACAACAACAAAACGTTGTGCCTCCTCAGCCTCCTCGTCTTCCTCGTCGTCTCCGTCCTCGCTCCCCGCCCCCCGAGGCCACCCTTGCCGCCCTCTTCGCCGCCCTCGCCCCTCGCCCGCCGTACGGAGTCTCGCCCGGCCGGGCTTCCCGCAGAGCGCGCCCGCCCGCGGCGGTCTGCCAGAGGGCGCGCGAGATCGGGGGGAAGTCAGCCCCCCGAGGGCGCGGGGGGCGCCCGCGACGAACGGCGTCGGCCGCCCAGGCAGCACGGGGGGGGGCGGGGGACAGACGGCGGCCGACGATGCGGCGACGGCGGCAACCAGCGACGACCGACGACGACCGACGACGACGCCGACGACGCCGACGCCGACGACGACGACGACGACGACGACGACGATGACGACAACACACGACGCCGATGACGACGGCGACGATGATGGGCGACGGCGGCGGCGGCGGCGACCGACGACGACCGACGACGACGACGACGACGACGACTGCGACAACGACAACGACGACAATGACGACGACGACGATGCACGATGGACGACCGACAACCGACGACCGAACCTCGACGACCGACAACCGACGACGACAACGACGACGATGAACGATGACGATAGGCGACGAACGACCGACGATCGACAACGGACGACCGAATATCGAAGACGACGACGATGGACGACGGCGGCCGCGGCGACCACGATGACGACCCGACGATGGACGATGGACGCGACTTGCGCTTGACAACTGACGGTCAAATATCGACGACCACGATGACGGCGATGACCATGGACGACGACGACGGTTGATGGCGAAAATGACGACGATGACGATGATGACGACGCCGATGATGGACGGCGGCGACGACGACGACGACGAAGACGACGACAACGACGATGGACGTCGGACGACCGACAACCGACGACCGACGCCCGACGCCCGACGCCCGACGACGACGACGACGACCATGACGACGAGGACAACGACGACGACGACGACGACGACGACGAGGACGAGGACGACGACGACGACGACGACGACGACGACCGAAGACATTGAAGGGCGACGACAACGACGACGACGACGATGACGACCGACGACGACTCACGACGGGTAACGACCACGACGACGACCCGACTACCG